GCTTCGGCGATCGATCTTCTGGGATTCGATTTAGTGGGTCTAGTAAAGAACCTCTAAATCGAATGCTGAGGGTGTCCTTGTGGATCATTGTTTCTACCATTGACTTCCTGCTGTGGGCCTGCCCAAGAAAATTGATGCAAGGTATGACGACTCCAGCTGCATGATTCACGTAGCTGGAGGTGTGTATCTTGCATCGATTTTCTCTGTCAGTGTAGACCTGGCCTCTGTTTCTCTACCATTCAATCCCTCCTTAAAACCTAGTGCATGGAGTTATGTTCTTCTCACCGGTACTCTCCAAACCCTGCTGTATCTGGCTGCTAGGCGTTGGCTTTCTTTTGTCTTGTCTCTGCGCTTGTAGACAGTGAAGGACTGAGGATGGGTTGCACTCTATGGCCCTGTTCTTTCTGTCCAAACTGCTAGTATGTACCCCTGCAGCTACATAGAATCAATGAGATTATGGCCAGCCTGTGAGGATCTGGTTTATATTCCCATTGAGGGACTGTTTATAAAGGGATATGTGCATTTATGGTACAGGTTGAACCTCTCTAGTCGGGCACTGTCTGATCTGGCAACATCTGTGGTCCAGCACAATTTTAGTTAGCCCAATGTCCACTTTTAATGAGTGTGGCCAAGTGTTCCACAATGCCATAAAGTTTGTTTACAGCCACCAGTCCTGGCTGTCAGTGTTCTGTGCTGTTGTTTAGCTCTAATTTACCTCTAAATGTCTTCTAAGAGCCCAGTAAGCAGTGGAAGTGTTGGTAATGCTGCTAGACAATATTGATCTTCCATGGTTTGGCTAATTCTTGGGTTCAGCACTGCTCAGGTCCCGAGAGTGCCAGATTGGAGAGGTTCAGCCAGTACCATACAAATGATATTTATCAATGAAAATCAACTTTATATGATGTAATGTTCATCTCGTATTATGGTCTTAAAACATTCAGTTTAATTAGCTATCCTTTCTTTTGGTTTAGAAAAGTGCTAAGAATTAATTAATAACAACAGGGATACTTATCACTTACACAGTGCTTTGTACTTCCAAAGTGCTTTGCAAACATTATCTCGTTACTTATGCTGCTAATTATGGTACCGTTGGTGGAGAAGAAAAATCCTTTGATGTTCATTTTGAATTAAACATACACCCTTAACAGGACTTGAGTTCTGCACTGATACATTGTAGCAGATATTTTGTCCACTAGGCTACATGATTTTGTCCACTAGGCATGGGGGATTTACATCTTCTCCTTTGTCTACTGCAAGGCCTAATTTTACTTCATAAATAATGATACCAAGAGCTTTAACATTTGTGTTATTAGTGGTATAAATATGACACTCAAGTGATACGGGCAAATAAGTGGTGTTAGCCCCTTTTTTACAGATGGAGAAATTGACCCATAAGGGATAAAACCATCAAAAACATCTGAGTCCCATTTTCAAAAAGATGCCTTTTAAGGCAATTAGGGTCCAAAGTCATTTAGGTGCTTTTGAAATTTTTACCTCTGCTGTTTTGATTAAGGTCACACAGTGACTTAGTACCAAAGCTGGGAACTCGCAAACTTCTGGCTCCTGATACCGTTTACTAATCTTCCAGTTGATGTTACATCTCGGCAATGATCAAATCGTCTCAGAAATGAAAAAAATTATGGACCTAGGCTAGCTTAGTGTGTACTCTGATTGAGTGAAGTTCTACCTATACACAGAGTTATATAAACATATTTTTCTGTGTTTACATTTTTTCATTAAAGTAGCTGTAGCTATATAGTTCCCCATAAACAGGACATATGCCACATGCCTTTAACAAGTACTGTTAAACCTACCAGAAGTGGTTATCAGAAAAACATCCCAGATTCCCCATTGAGTTTGGTCCTGCTAAGATAGTAAAGATTCTGCTTTTCTTCCACCTTGGCTTTAGGTTAATACCCTGCCGCGATTATCATTTTGCCTGATCATTGTACTTCACTGACAGGAGAAAAGTGTGAATATAATATCAAGTACAGCTGTTTCATTATTTTTCTATAGCTGCAGCCAAAAACTGAAATTATTTTTAGACATTAAAAGTTTCAAATGTATGTGTTTAATTATAGGTCTCTGTATCTGTTGTTGGGCACCACAGCCAAAGGGACTTGCTTCTTAGAGATGCTGAGGCCAGTTTCATATAGGTGCCTAATTAGTAATCCTTTAGGTCTGAATATTTTGGCATATGTTTTCAGGGCTGCATCTTCAAAACTAGCATTCAAAATCTCATCTGCAATTTTTTGCCTGCCTGTGATAAGGCAAGTCCGAGGGGGACCAGCTGAGATCACTCAATTAGGATGCACTACATAAAATAGGATGGCCAGTTCTCAAAGCCAGTGGTTATTCTAATAGTGATAGTCACCAAGCCAGCACAAAACAGCTTCTGTATCATCTTATGGGTTAATCAGAATCCAAGCCACACAGTTCCCTTAAAGTACCTAGGCTCCGGTTACCACTCAGACACACTCAAGTCAGATAAAGTTCTACCAGTACCAAAGAATTGGACATTTTACTTGCCAGGTCAATAAATATTTCAACCCTTATCCCAAGCACATGCTTATGGCCAATTTATTAAATGAGAAAAGAGAGCGAGAGAGAAAGCGTGTGTGTATTGGTTAAAAGATCAATACGCATACAGACATGAGTTCAATTCTTGAGGTTCAGTTACATAACGGGGATGGTGATCTTGTAGTTGCAAACGTTCTTTTAGAATTTAGCCCAGTGTTATAGTTCAAAATCCACATCTAGGGTGGTTCCAGCCAATGACTTGGGATCTCAATCCTTGTGGCCCTTGCATGGAACCTCAAGCAGATCTGAGACCCTAAGTCAATGTCTATAAAGGGGACACCGGGAGATCCTGGGATCTTATTTCTTCTGGCTCATAGCTTTCCCTGTGTGCATAGAAGCAGATCTGAGACCAAAAGGATCCTGTCCAAGAGACTTTATACTTTTGCAGCAGCCTCTTGGTCTAGGAGAGCACAATAGGCTTTTGATGTAACTTTCTGTCTCCCAGACATCGCAGCAATTAGCACAAGGTAACGTCTTCGTTACATAGTTCACATACAGTTTACCACAACCTTCAAAGAGACATTTGAACGACAATACTGCTTCAATCAAGTTTCCTCATAGGTGTTAATATTCCCTTCTGATCGTGAATCAAAGCTGTAATAACAGCCACCGAGGATTGTTTGTTCACAGTACAGAACCTGGGCAAACGCCTTCCACTTTACTGCTCTAACAATGCAAGTTTGCATTTCAAAGTTCTACTCTAACTTAAGGTCACAGTCCACTTATTATCTACCATCTTCCCCCCAAGTCTTTAAAGGTCGACCCTGGGTCATTCAGCCTATGAGCTAGTTAACCCTTTCCGGCTAGATGCTACATTTTAATCTGATGACTAATATTTCAGTCCGGTAATGTCACAATGCCCCTTCGTAAAAACAAATCCCTTCTATGTGAATATAATTGCAGGAGCAAATTGGGGATCCAACTGGAGACTCATTGAATAATTGGACCGTTAGTTCTTTTAGGACCAGCAAATCAGGTTAAACAGGTAGAAGCCAACCTTCTGCCCTATGATGAAGTTATAATGGCATAGCTTAACATAGTATAAAATAATAAGGCCTCTACGCTGAGTTGTGCTGTGTCAGACATTCAGGAGAGCTTGTTAGTCTTTAAGGTGCTACTAGACTATTTGTTGTTTTTTAAGTTTTTCCAGTTACAGACTAACTCAGCTACCCCTCTGAAACACAAAAACTCAGTGCAGAATTGGGGCTTACATGAGTGGTGTGTCCCTCACCCACTGGGCCTTGCTAAAATGAGCAACAGTATGGAAAAATCGAATGGTTTTCACAAAGAAGTGAAACCTCACACTTTCCAGTAAAGAGATATTTGAGGTCCAGACTCCAGGAGTCCTAGAAATGAGCTGTGCAGGACATAGCACCGCCGAAAGGGAACGGGAATTAATTATCTACACTATGCATGTTAGGCAGAGCTTGACACCATGACAACTCGCCCTGAATTGATGCTGTAACTAGACACTAAATCACATAAGAAAGAGATTCCGGGCTAGCACTCTACTACCACCTCCTCCTCTGGACATAGATTTCAGGCCTCGTTTTCAGGGATACCGAGCACACTTGAAGTTACTGAGAGTTACAGGCACTCAGCGCCTTTGAAGCAGTTCCTTCATGATATATGGATGAATACAAATTGGGCCTCACTGGTCCAGCACCTTTGGGACCTGACTGGTCCCAGATGAGGGATTTTTTTGGACCAGGAGAGGTTATTTCTAGCCCCCTTGTTGCCACTCCATCCCCTCTCCTGCCACCCCACTGGGCTTCCCGGCTTCCCCGGGCAGTCCACCTGATCGTTCCTGGGTCCCCCACTCCTCCACGGTGCACGGGGACTCTCTGATCCTGGAACATCTGTGGTCCTGCTGGACCAGAGAGTCCCAGTCTGTAGAGGCACAACCGGTACTGGCTTTACTCCTGATGAGTACGAAAGTGCAAGTGCTGTGGCTAATGGTGGCGCTGCCAGTGTCAAGTTGCTGCTCGTATAAGAATTGAGTGGCAGCAAATATTGCTTTTGGGAGGAGTTGTGATAGCCCAAGCTGTTTGCTTCCAAAGCCTCCAAAGGGCATCCAGATCCACTAGGCAGCTTGGAAATGCTCAGCCTTGATTTGTGTGCAGAAGACAGGAGGTTGCGAAGAAGTACAGCAATCAGCCTGAGGCTACGGAAGGTCGTGTGCAATCAATTACCTTGCAGTTGGAATAGATTGGTTCTCTGTGCATGGCCTTGTCTTTTTGTTGCGAGTCTGAAATTATGAAAGGAATAGTCCTGGACTTATTACTGCCAGGGGTTGGCCATCAGCGTCCAGTAGGCGAGGTCCATGCCAGAGTTTGCTGTGCTACTCTGGGCCTGTTTAATTGACTTGAATTGTTTTACACACGATGCAAGTTTCATTCAGAGCGTCTGTTTATTGGCAGAACAACACCGTTTGGAAGCCAGACTCTTGCCAGGAGTGCAGATGCCACAGTGACATTCTCATCTGTGAACCCGCTGTCTGCAGATCCCCTCGGTGTGACTCTCAGAAGGTACGTGGGCCGGGTGACTTTCCATACAAGGGGTAGGGAGTATTCGAACCATTAGGTTTCCCCCCCTTCTGTTTAACGTCTTAGGCACGGAACAGACGCTCATAGAACACCTCCTCTTTCCCATAGCCACGGCTCGGTCAAGGTTCTGTTTTCATTGACATCTATGCAGCCCCATTGAAGCCAAGGGACCTCATTCTTAGTGGGTATGGGAACTAGAGGGGACCTCGAGAGGTCACCAAGTCTAGTACCCTGCACTCATGGCAGGATCAGCACCAGCTAGACCAAGGGTGGGCAATAATTTTTGATGGGGAGGGGACTCCAAGAATTTGGGAAGTGGTCAAGGAGCCGTAGAAGGGAGCTTGGGGTAGGGGATTGAGGTGAGCGTGGTGTGTGTGTGGGGTCTGGCAGGGAGTTTGGGTGAAGCAGGGGGTTGTGACCTGGGGCAGGAGTGTAGGAGGGAGTGCAGGGGTTTGGTTTGTGACTTAGGGCAGGAGGAGGTTGTGACCTCAGGCAGGGGCTTGGGGTGCAGGGTCCTGAAAGGGGTATGGGTGCAGCAGAGGATTCTGATCTGCAGGAGAAGTGCAGGATGGAGTGCAGAGCCTGGGAGGGGGTTGTGACATGAGGCAGGGGTGTGGAAGGGGCTGCAGGGATTTGGGTTGTGACCTGGGGCAGGGTCTTGAAGGTGTCTGGGTTACATGGGGTAAGGCTGCAAGAGGGGAGGTAGAAGGTTGGGAGGAGAGATGTGCTGCGCTGCCGGAGGTAGGCTCTGGCCAGGAGGCGCTTACCTAGATGGCTCCTGGCCAGCAGCCCAGCAGGTCCCTTAATCAGGCTCCTTGCCTGCCCCGCCCCCGCACACTGCTCAGAGCAGCTGGCTACAGGGGCCATGCACTGGTCTGAGCTCCGGGGTGTGTGGGCGTGCGCGTGCGTGTGTGCATTGCCTGCCCTGCAAACTGGGAGCTCCCATTTGCAGCCGGCTGCTCTGAGTGGCGTGTGGGAGAGTCTGGGAGTCTCAGCCAGGCTCCCCCTGGGCTGCGGGCTGGATTTGACAGCTTGTCGGGCTGCATTTTGCCTGCGCCTGATCTAGAACATCCCTGACAGGTGTTTGTCTAACCAGCTCTTAAATATCTCCAGAGATGGAGATTCCACAGTCTCCCTAGGCAATTTATTCCAGTGTTTAACCACCCTGACAGATGGGGAGTTTTTCTTAATGTCCAACCTAAGCCTCCCTTAAGGGCAATGTAAGCCCATTGCTTCTTGTCCCATTATCAGAGGTTAATGAGGATACTTTTTCTCCCTCCTCCTTGTAACCCCTTTTAGACACTGTTATGTCCCCTCTCAGACTTCTCTTTTCCAGAATAAACAAACCTAATTCTTCCAGTCTTCCCTCATAGCTCATGTTCTCTAGACCTTTCATCATTTTTGTTACTCTTCTCTGGACCCTCTCCAGTGTCGCCACATATTGCTTGAAACGTGGTGCCCAGAACTGGACGCAATCCTGCATTTGAGGCCCAATCAGTGCAGAGTAGAGCAGAAGAATGACTTCTCGTGTCTTGCTCACAACACTCTTGTTAATGCCTCCCAGAATCATGTTTGCTCTTTCTGAGATAGTGTCACGCTGTTGACTCATATTTAGCAGACAGAAATCTAAGGGTCATAGATCCCTTTCTGCAGTACTCCGTCCTAGATAGTCATTTCCCATTCAGTATGTGTGAAATGGATTGTTCCTTCCTAAGTGGAGCACTTTGCATTTGTCCTTATTGAATTTCATCAATAGGGGCATGATGCTGCCAAATCAAAATGGTAGCATTTCCCACCCACCCTATGCTGTCTGCACCTTCTGGATTGAACTCAAGGGCTGGGGTGCTGCAGAACAAACAGATGGCCTCTTTCCACCCTTCTAGAACTGTGCTTTTGATCTGACTTTTTGTTTGTTGTGCTTTGGTGCTATTGTTGCTTTCATTGACTTGTTGTTTATCTGTTTCCCAGTGAGTCTTTACTAATGGTTGAAGTTAATTAGACACAAGGATTGTGTATCAGTGGGGTCCATATTATGAATGCAGAGACATACGAATGTCAATACAAGTATTTATTTTTAAGAGACCCTGTCAATATATAAAAGTCACGTAGCTTTAAAATGGCCTTGCTAGTGTTCCTGGTAGCCCCCATCGGGTTATTAACTGTGAAAGAATAAGTGGTGTCCAATCATTAATGCTGTTTATTAGCGGGAGACTGAAAATATTGGGACTGCTTTTAGGGTAGAGTGGAGATGAATAACAGGAAATGTAACAGAGACATACAAAATAATGAATGGGATCGAACAGATAGATTGAACACTTCTGTTGTTCCTTTCTCATAACAAAAGGACAAGGAGAAAAGGCAGTAATTTTAAAAATGATGACAGGAAATAATTTTTGATGCAGTTCCTAACTAACCTGTGGAACTCATTGCCACAAGATATCATCAAGGCCAAGAGTAGAGGAGGGTTCCAAAAAGGAGTGGACAAGGAAAACACCCAGTGTTACATTATGTAAGAGAGCCATTTTGGAAGGGGTCATGCCTTGTGCTTCAGGGTATAAACCAACCAGTAATTAACGGGGTTAGGACGGAATTATTCCTATCAGTAGTTGACTCTTTAAATGCGAGCAGCAGGATTTTTTCGACCTTCTTGGAAGCTGCTGTCTCTTGCTCCAGACTGAGCGCCTCTGATGATCTTACTTTGATCAATATGGCATAGAGAGAGGCAGGTCCTTCCATAGGCAGGTCCCTTGATATTTAGGATATGTCAAAACCACTCCTTAAACACAGATGGTGCTGTTCTGAAAGGGCAGGCAGGGAGCATGTCCTCCTGGGAACCCGCTTACAATATTTTCAAGAAGGTGACTTGGAAGCAAAACCCTGAGTTATGGCCCCTCTTTGTTGCCTTTTCTTCTCAACTATTACATTTTGTGTGTGTGTTGGGGGAGAGAGAGAGAGCTCTATATATATATATATATATATATATATATAAAAATATATATATTTGGTGGTGAGGTTTGCACCTGTACAAGGAAAACTATCTCTGTTTTGTCACGGTGGGCCTAATCCTGAGGAGATGCTGAGCACTTCCCAGACGGAACGAGGCATCCTCAGGTGCTGTAGATATCTGTGGAATCTTTGCCAGGATAAGGACTCATGCCACATTCCTTTGTGGCCTCTGTGTGGCCCATTGCCAGCGTCGGAGATGTTTAAAGTGCCTCAGGGAAGGCTGGAATGAAAGTGCAAAAGCTGCTGTGCACAATCCTGGGAGATGCTCCAGGAATGGAAGCAAAGCAACCCCCCCTCCCGTCCCCCCCGAGCAAACTTTTTTATTCTGTCTTCTGCCCTTAGTGTGACGTGGTAACCTGAATGTGTAGGCCAGTTGGCTTAATCTGTTACCCTGCTGCTACCCAGGGTAGCCACTGAAGACACTGAGAGGGGCAATATAAAATGTTACTAGGCAATATAATAAAGATGGTCAATATTTTTCAGTTTTTGAAAATGTCACATTTTGGAACTTGAAAAGAAATTGAAATTTAGAAAGAAAATAAAAAGTTGATTATCAGTTCATTCTCTTTTCCCTTTTTTCCATCTAGCTCCAATTAGAAAGGAAGAAAAGGATATTTTTAAAAGAGTAGTAAATTAAATTTTAAAACAAGAAAAAAAATTTCTCCGACACCACTTCTGGGTTAATTAAAAAAAAATGTTTTTTTGCCTTGTTGAAAGAGTTTCTCAATTGTTTTCCTGTCTGTCATTGAAACTGTTGGTATCAGAGAGTCAATGAAGAATGAGTCCTTTTCCAAAGGGTCATTTGTGTATATGCGCAGTGTGTGCAGTGTGTGTGTGTGTGTGTGTGTGTGTGTGTTTTCCTGTCCACCTCTTGGGCACAAGTGAATTCAGCATCTCACAGCAGTGCAACAGCTCTGCTTGGGGAAGTCCTTGATTAGTAGCATGCTTTTAAAATTGCTTATTGGACTCTTGTATCCGTTCAGGGGGAAGTGCTCTGGACAGCCCCCAATCAATGCTGCCCTGAGTGTGCCTCAGGAACCGAAGAATTTTGCCAGCATGAAGGCCAAACCCATGCGGTAAGTGCTGTTAAGTATCCATTGGCAGTAGCTTTATTTTCCATTTCTTAGCTCTCTGGCTGGCCACCGAAATACAGGGGTGGCAGCTTTTGCCTGTACAAAGTCAGTGGCAGGTCAGGCACTTCAAAAGCCATCTCCTGGACTTGATGAAATTGTTAAGCAAAGAACCTCCCTGCCAGGGTCACACTGCACTCATTGCTGACCCAGACCCCCTCTAATCGTTCCCATCCATGTGTGGAATAATTTTATATGCACTGAGTCATGTGTGACTGTGCACCATCACTAGAAACAAAACCTAGCTGTGGATGTTGTGCTAATGAGCTGGGCTGCATTCGAATCTCTCTTGAGTGGCCACACAAGCACACAGCTCATAAGGAATATTTTTCCTGACCTTCACTCTGGCCACTTTCTCCTTTGAGGGACTTGAGAGCAGATAGCTTTTCTCAGCTTGGAATCCCTCATAGGTGTGTACTGGTCCTGCACCTCCAACCCATGCAGCCTTTGGTATATTGGGGTGTGTTTGGAGCAATCCTCATCTTTTGGGCTACTCTAAATTTCTCCAAGAGCCACCCCCAGGATCAGTGTACTGCTTCCGTCCCAGCTGCGCCCACTGGGAACAGCTGAGGATCGAGGCTACTGCAGAGTAGACATGGTACAAAGCCATGATGGAGATGTGGCTTAGGAACATACCTGGCAAGAATGTTTATGAAGTGCCTGGTGCATTGAGGCCATAGCTATTGCTCTAGGCTGCAGCTGTAGGGACGTATGATAAGGTACCTCCACTACTTCCTCATGCGTTTCAGGAGGGGAGGAAGAATATTAATCCACAATCGTCTTCTGAAAGTGAGTATCCAGGCCATTGTAAATGCGATAAAAGAATCTCCGTTTGAGTGGCAAGAGGGCCATCCCTTGAATCTCTGACCCACTTTGCCAGTTCTTTCAGGAGCAAAATTGCCAGTGGGATTTCCCTATGTAAGTAGTGAGTAAGTAAAGAGGGGTGGGAACGCTGCAGGATGTAGCTGCTTCGTAATGGAGAAGCCCTTTTATGCAGCAGCAAATACTCAGAATCTCTCTATATTGTGCACTGGTTCGGCACACTCCTCCTCTCGCTGTAACTTCTTCTTAACCTCTTCCCCCAAGCAAACCACATGTCGATCCTGTCTCGTTAAGAGGTCGTGGGGCAGGTATGTTATTTTCGAGTTACGTCAAACTAAGCGCCACTTTCTTTGGGTGTGGTCCTGGCTAATCTCAGCAAAACATACTTGGCCAATATTCGGGCAGCTTCAGACTCCATGACGACAGGCTTATGGTGGGTGGGAACCGGGTCTGCGGCATTTTCTTTCTTTATTTATTTGAAATATTTTTACACACGTGAATGGTCTCTTTTCAAATGAACTTTTGGGCAGATAACCAGGATGAAAATATGGAGTGTGACTGCCAACTAGGTCCTGGAGAGACTCCTTCATGCGTTCACTCGTGGCTTCCTTTTCAATACAGCACCCTGGAAGGCAGCAAAAGGCACCATTAATCATTGCTCACTCCTTTCCCGTTATTATTTCTCCTGCCATCAGCTAATGGCCATATGGGGAATTTTATTTGCTACAGTTCATGCAAAGGGAACGCTCAAGTTCACAATAGCCTGGCCTATTTTGCTGAGCAGGGTGGAGAGTCTGGATCAACTGGATCATTCATTCATTCATTCATTCATTCATTCATTCATTCATTCATTCATTCATTCATTCAGCTGTGCTCGGCAGTGAAACAAGACAAGATAGTATTGTGCGGATAAGACATTGAACTCTCCATGTTGGCCTGCTTCCTACTGGAAACGATAATTACCCACAGTAATTTGCATCGTTAGACACTGACCTCTGCCGTGTGATGGGCTATGCACATCTGTAACCCTGACCTGGGCAAACACAGGCTTCAGGGAGACAAATCCACCACGGTGCCCAAACAGGTCCCAGCAGAAGGAGCAAGTGTCCCTGTGATTAACCCCCACTCCTTGAGGTTCAGGAGTGATATTTACTGACTGATGTCCAGTAACAGGTGCAACAACCCTCTCCTTAGTGAGGGGAACTCAGAAGAAGGATAGTTTAATGATTAGGGCACTGGCCTGGGATTTAGGAGGCCTGGGTTCAATTTCTGGCTTGCCTGCAGGTTTCCTCTGTGACCTTGGGCAAGTCATTTAGTCTCTCCATGCTTCAGTTTCCCATGTAGAATGGGGCTAATAGCACATCCCTATTGCACAGTGAGAGCAAGTACTCTGTGAAGTGTTGAGATGCCATGGTAATGGGAATCCTATGAGTACTATGGATAAGTAGTCAACCCTCACCTCTGTCTTACTAAAATGCTTTACTAATTGGCTGTGGTAATTTTTCAGTTTTTGGCTCCTTTGATCATAGAATCACAGGGTTGGAAGAGACCTCAGGAGGCTACCTCGTTCAACCCCCTGCCCAAAGCAGGACCAACCCCCTTCCTAGGCAACCCATTCCAGTCTTCACCACCCACCAAGTGAGAGAGTTTTTGCTAATGTCTAACTAGACCTCCCCACTGCAACTTGAGCTATTGCTCTTCATTCTGCCATCAGTCACTACTGAGAACAGCCTCTCTCCATCCTCTTTGGAGCCTCCCTTCAGGTAGCTTAAAGGCTTCTATCAAATCCCCCCTCACTCTTCTCTTTTCCAAACTAAATAAGCCCAGATCCCTCAGCCGCTCCTTATAAATCATGTATCCCAGTGCCCTAATATGCTTTTTCTCCAATTTGTCTACATCCTTTCTGTTGTGGGGGCAGGAGGGAGCCAAAACTGGACACAATACTCCAGATGTGGCCTCACCAGTGCAGAATAAAGGGGAATAATCACTTCCCTAGATCTGCTGGCAATGCTCCAACTAATGCACCCCAATATGCCATTGGCCTGCTTGACAACAAGGGCACACTGTTGACTCATATCCAGCTTCTTGTCTAGTGTAATCCCCAGGTCTTTTTCTGCAGAACTGCTCCTTAGCCAGTTAGTTGCCAGCCAGTAGCAGTGTTTGGGATTCTTCCGTCCCAAGTACAGGACTCTGCACTTGTTGAACTTCATGAGATTTCTTTTGGCCCAATTCTCCAATTTGTCTAGGTCACTCTGAACCCTATCGCTACCCTCCAGTGTATCGACCTCTTCTTCCCCTCCTCCCCAGCTCAGTGACATTCACAAACTTGCTGAGGGTGCGGCCTGGCCCAGCCCATCCTCCAGATCGTTAATGAAGATGTTTGAGAAAACTGGCTCCAGGACTGTGCTTGATGCTGGCTGCCAACTAGTCATCAAGCTGTTGATCGCTGCTCTTGAGCCTGGCAATCTAGCCAGCTTTCTGTCCAACTTGTAGTCCGTTCATCCAGCCCATGCTTCTTTTACTTGCTGGCAAGAATACTGGGGGAGACCATATCAAAAGTTTTGCTAAAGTCAAGATCTATCATAATCACCGCTTTCTCCATATCCAGAGTCAGTTACCTCGTCATAGAAGGGTATGTCTACACTTGCACCCTCTTTCGAGAGAGGGATGCAAATGAAGACATTCAAAATTGCAAAAGAAGCTGGGATTTAAATATCCCGCGCTTTATTTGCATATTCAGGTTATGGCGCTATTTCGAAATAACAGACGCTGTTAAGACGCAATTATTTCGAGAGAAAACCCTTCCTCATACAATGAGGTTTACCAGTTATTTCAAGAGAAGGGTTTTCTCTTGAAATAACCATGTCTTAACAGCGTCTGTTATTTTGAAATAGTGCCGTAACGCGAATATGCAAATGAAGCGCGGGATATTTAAATCCCAGCTTCATTTGCAATTTTGAATGCCTTCATTTGCATCCCTCTCTCAAAAGAGGGTGCAAGTGTAGACATCCCCGAAGATAATTAGGTTGATTAGGCATGACTTGCCCTTGCAGAATCCAATTTCCTCTCTTCCAAGTGCTTCAAAATGGATTCCTTGAGGATCCCCCCTGTGATTTTTCTGAGGACTGAGGTGAGGCTGACTGGTCCGTAGTTCCTTGGATTGTCCTTCTTACCTTTTTTAAAGTTGGGCACTACATTTGCCTTTTGTAACTGTCCAGGAGATAATGGCCATTGGCTCTACAATCACATCAGCCACCTTTCTCAGCACCCTCGGATTATGTTTTAGTTTAGTTTTTTTTTTAATGGAAGAAATGTAACCGTAGCTGCTGGAGTTGGTGCCTGCTGATTGCCGTCATGTGACGGTGGTATAACCTCTGGTATCCCTGATATGTGTCACATTGGCTGGGAAATAAAAATTAGCCTCATGCCAGCACTGTCATGTGCCTCGCCCTTACTACAGAGCCAGCTGCATATTTAGGAAGCTATTCTACGGGTACAGCCCAATGGCTGGAGTGGATTACACAGGGAAGATGATTATCTTTCTGTCAATGAGCCAGACAAATGCTTTATATCTTCATCATTATTTTGGAAATAGCTAGCCAGCAAAACTGTCTCCAGTAATCACCCCGAGAAAGAAATTACACTGCAACGGACAGCAGGTTTTTTCCATGTTACGTGTTTTACATAAATTAAAATTTCAGACAATAAAACAGCTTATATCCTGGTTGTCTGTGAGTGGTAATGCTAGAATCCTAGGGTTGGAAGAGACCTCAGGAGGTCATCAAGTCCAACCCCCTGCCCAAAGCAGGACCCACCCCAACTAAATCATCCCAGCCAGGGCTTTGTCAAGCCAGGACTTAAAAACCTCTAGGGATGGAGATTCTTAATGAGTGTGCCATTGTACCTAGTAGGCCCTTCTGAGATGGCTTTCTGCTTGGCAGTGTTCCTACGGAAAGAAGATTTTGTATATTGCCTTGGAGAGCAAAAAAGCAGTGTGTTCTTAACTGGGCCAAACCCTGCTCGTGAGACCAGATCCACTGTCGTCATCGGGTCATGAGGCAAGCAGACTTTGGCTTGTCGTGTGGCACATTATCGTTTAAACTTGGAAGGGCAGATTTTGTCCTCTGATGGGTGTTGGTCCGACTGAACGTTTTCATGGAAGCTTGCTGCAGGGTCACATTGACTCTAGACATGGCAGCTCGGCCTCTCATACAGGCAGTCGTGAGTGGGGAAAATGTATCCATGAGCTGTATGTCCTTTGGCTTAGGGTTATGCCATGTCTACACAATTTTGAGGACCCTCTCTATTCGAGTGATCTCTGTGTCTGGCTTAGGCCTACTTTGTCCCCATGTGGTAGGGAAGAGTGACGGCCCCGAAGTCTGGAGTCGGGGTTGTGACCTACAGGCCTGGGGATGTTTGCAGAAGAGGGGTGTTAGGCACCGGTGCTGGGCAATTCACTGGAGCAAGGGCCGTTTCCAGTCTTGTTGTCTGTTCAGTTCACTCATGTGTTTTCCGTGTGGTTTTTCCTTTACAGCATGGCACGGAATGGGCGAGTTCTGAGTGCACGCTTTGCTCCTGTGCCGATGGGAATGTTAACTGCCTCCCCAAGCCCTGCCCGCCCCTTGCTTGTGGCCGAGGAGAGCTGGAGTACATCGCCCACAGAGAGTGCTGTCCCAAATGTGTGGGCGCCGGTGGTGAGTCTGCAAAAGGGGCGCCCCACACAAGTGAATTTGGTCTTAGTTATGTGGCCCAAGGTCCGTGTTGCTGCTCTACATCTTGACTAAGTGACTAGGTGGGCCCATCTCTTAAGTCCTCACATCAATAAATAGCGTTTTCCCCTTTGCTTTAAGTCCGGCTGCTTCACATGCACCTTGCCAGACACACTGGAGTATAAAACTGCCCCCGATTCGCTTTTCACCCTGCTCATTTTGGGTCACGTAGATGAAGGCTGAAATTTCCAAAGCTGCCTAAGGGATTCAGAGGTGCAGATCCTATTAACATTAAATGGGAGTTGGGCATCCAACTCACAGAGATGCCTTTGAAACCTCACCCTAAAGGCAAAATCTCTGACAGGGTTGTGGTGTTATTGACTTTTTTTCCTACTGGTTATATCAAGCCTTCTACGTTGAGACATACACAGTCTTATTTAAACCGCAAACAGAAAACCTTTCACTTAAATCCACACATGCTACAGATCTCAGACTGGCTTTTGAAGCTGTATACTTTATCCTCCCGTAGGGCCTACAGACCAAATTTGACCCCATTTATAAGAGAGGGAACTTCTACTTGAATTCAGTAGAGTTAAAGCTGCTTACATCAGGCTAAAATTAGCACACATCATATTGTTTGGAGTATCATAGCCAGGTGATGTCAGTTATAACACGCAGGCTGAACACACTCAACTGTCGGCCTGGTATCAAATGTAGGACAACTGTGAGTACAATGTCCGTGGCCCTAAGCTATGTGACCGTCTTCATAGCAGTGTCCACACTATTCCAACTTGCCTTGTCAAACAAATGACTTTAATTTTTCATGAGCTTGCGAAGTTGGTTGGTTGATTGATTCAGTTACATTAGTGCTGCATGATATCGCTTTAAAAATTAGATCTGGACAGTAGCAATTAAGAGCACGTTGGAAAAATTGAGAACAGTCTAAGTGACAAATCTCAAAAGCTGGTTATTAATGCGAAGCCTCATCAAACAGAGGTGTTTCTAGAGAGGATTTTTTTCCCCCCCATGATTGAACATTTTTGTCAGTGATCTGGATGTAAATTTAGAATCACTGCTGATGAAATTTGCAGACCCTAAAAAGATTGGTGGCATTTATACCGGGAGACTCGGATCGCTTAGTAAGCTGGGTCCTTTCAAACAAAATGAGTTTGAATACATGTAAATACTAGATTTTATATGTAGAAACCAAGAATGCAGGTCATGTGTATCGAAAGGACTAAAAACTGGTTACTTTGATAAAGGATATAAGGGCTCATAGTAGACAGACAACTCAACATGAGCTTTCAATGGGTGTGTCTAGACTACAGGGTTTTTTTCGAAAAAAGTAGCCTTTTTTCAAAAAAAATTCCCGTGTCTAGACTGCTGCCACGTTCTTTCGAAAGTAAATCGAAAGAACGTGGCAGTTTTTTTGACCGCAGAAAACCCCGTTTTATGAGGAAGAATGCCTTTTTTCAAAAGTGCTCTTTCGAAAAATGGTGCGGTGTAATGCAAACTGTGCTTTTTCGAAAGAGAGCATCCAGACTGCCTGGGTGTGCTCTTTCGAAAAAGTGACTTGCTTTTTCGAAAGTACTGGTTATAGTCTAGATGCTCTTTTTCGAAAGAGGCTTTTTTGAAAGTATCTTTCGCAAAAGCCTCTTTCGAAAGAGGCATGTAATCTAGATGTAGCCAATGTGATACTGTGGTTAAAAAGGTGAATGTGATGCACAGTTGTATGAATGAGAGCAGTGAGTAGGAAAAGAGAGGTGATTTTACCTCCGTACATGGCATTGGTGACACCTCTGCTGGAATACTGTATCCAGTAGTATGTTGACATTTTAAAAAAGAATTTTGAAAAATTGGGGAGGATGCAGAAAAGAGACACAGAAATGATTCATGGGTTGGAGAAAATGAGATTCTTAAAGGTCTCAATTTGTTTAGCTGATTAACAAGAAGATTGAAAGTGACTTGAATACAGGTTGTAAGTACCTTCACTAGGAGAAAGTAATGGGTATTCCAGGGCTCTGTAGTTTAGTGAATAAAAATATAACAGGAAGCAATGGCTGGAGTATAAAGCCAGACAAATTCAATTTAGAAATCAGATTCAGATTTTAAACAGTAACGGTGATTAACCAGTAGAACAAACTATCTGGGAAAGTGATGGATTCTCACCACTCTTTATGTCTCAAAGTAAAGACCAATGATCCCTCTAAATTTTTTCATCCATGTGTGGAATAATTTTATGTGCACCGAGGCATGTGTGAATGTGCACCGCCACCAGAAACAAAACCTAGCAGTGGCTGCTCTGCTACTCAGTTGGACAGCACTTGATTCTCCACTGAGTGGCAACACAAGCACATAACTTACAGGAAACACTGGTCAAGACTGTATACCTTTCTGGAAGACAGGCTTTAGTTAGACACAAATTATTGGATTTAATGCGGGGAAACATAGTGGCTGCATCTAGACTGGCATGATTTTCCGCAAATGCTTTTAACGGAAAAGTTTTTCCATTAAAAGCATTTGCGGAAAAGAGCGTCTAGATTGGCATGGATGCTTTTGCGCAAAAGCACTTTTTGCGGAAAAGCGTCCGTGCCAATCTAGATGCGGTTTTGCGCAAGAAAGCCCCAATCGCCATTTTCACCATCGGGGCTTTTTTGCGCAAAACAGTTTTTACATGTCTACACTGGTAAAGCATTTGCGCAAGAGGGCTTATCCCTGAGCGGGAGCATCATAGTATTTGCGCAAGGACACTGACAATCTTACATTAGATCATCAGTGTTCTTGTGCAAATTCAAGCGGCCAGTGTAGACAGCTGGCAAGTTTTTCCACAAAAGCAGTCGCTTTTGCGGAAAAACTTGCCAGTTGAGACGCAGCCAGTGAGTTTAATGGCCTGGGATATTCAGTAGGTCAGATTAAATGATCTACTGGTCCCTTTCTGGCCAAAAATTCTATGGATCTATCCTGAACTTTCTTCACTGTGTGTATACAGACTAACTGTAGTGGATAACCTCATATGCAAGTGTCAGAACCCAGGACTGGATCTTAAAGCACATTAGGACAATTTTAGGATGAAGTATCATGGTTGATGCATTTTTTCAGTGCTGGGATATCTCTTCTACTTACATTGGTTTACGTCTCAGACATAACCTTTTACTGTAATCCTTGGCTTCTCTGCTGAGGCTGTCATTGGTAATTAGACCATTTGTCCACTGGTATATCTAGACGGTGGCCAGCAGTTGACTGGGGCAGGGATTGTGCCTTCTTTTGTGCTTGTACACCCTGCGGGATCTCAGAAACAAATAGATAATAATTTCATACAGGACAATGAATTAGTGCAGTGTTTTTTTTTTTTTAAATACTGCCATTATTCTGGGTCAGCTTTGTGGCGATGGCTCTTACGAAGTTTTTCTTTGCAGATGCCAATCAGTAGATGAGTCCTACATCTGCAGCCCTTTTTATAGGTTTGTGAAATTGTGCCGGTAGAATGTGAGAAACCATAGCAAGTGTGCCCAGGTGAATGCTATGCAGCCAGAGGGGCTTAGCAAGGAAAGTTATGGGGCATTACTTCCAGGGGTATTACTTCCTAGAGTGCCGGGGGGTAGATCTGAGATGAAAGGAATTGAGTGAGGAGATGGAATTAAAGAAAACATCAAAAATGGAAACACAGTTTGAATCGTAGATGTATAGATGTTAAGGCTAAAAAGGCCCATCCTGATCATCTGGTCTGACCTTCTGCACTTTGCTGGCCACAGAACCTCACCCACCCACTCCTGTCATAGATCCATGATTTTTGCCTGAGTTCTGAAGTTCTCAATTCATGATTTAAAGACTTCAGGTTTCAGAGATTTCACCATTTACACTAATTTCAAACTACAAGTGACCTGGGCCCCATGCTGCGAAGGAAGGTAAACTCCATTCCACAGGGTCTCTGCCAATCTGACTTATTTGGGGTCAGGAAGAAATTTTCCCCATATGGTGATCAGTTAGGCCAGGGCAGGCAAGATCTGGATCTGGGCTGCCAAGCCTTTTAATCTGGCCCGTGGCCCCTACAGCAGGGAGCAGTTCTATGCTGCTCAAAGTGGCTAGCTGCTCTCTGTGGCTCTGTGCACACAGGTGTCGGGGGGAGGCTTTGCACAATCTCAGCCAATGGGAGTTTAGAGTTTGCGCTGGGGGCAGGGGCATGATATGATGAGACTGCCTATGACTACATGTAGCTAACAGGCGAATGCTAGCAGCAAATATCTCTAGTGGCTGGTGTTGTGTCACTAGATGGAAAGAAAGAAAACTGCTCTTCTTGGAAAGCTATTCCAGACCTTCACTGTTCTGATGATTAACTTCCACTCTTCTGATGGTCTTAATTGTCTCTCAGAGTCCTGCTCCTTTGATGGCCAGATATTTCGGGATGCTGAGGAATGGCACCCCAGCCGGTGTGCCAAGTGCGTCTGCAGGAATGGGGCGACTCAGTGCTTCACAGTCGAATGTCCATCCGTGTGGTGCAGCCAGGTAAAAATTGTCGTCTTAATGTTCTGTACACTTCATCAGCTTTTCCTTTCTGTGGGAAATTTGCATTTCTCCAAAGAACGTTATTTGCTGGAAGGCTAATAGTTTACTGAAGGAAAAATCATTTGGAAAAAGGGCTTTTAATAATCATGTAAGAAGTGTATGCTGCACAAAACAAATCAATGCCTCCCCTTCAAACCTCCTACCTTGTCCATTTACTTACAGACTAACTGATTGTAAATATTCGTCGAGCTTTTCGTTTTATAATACAGAACATTCTGTAGCGTGGGTCAGGAAATTAGGAGTTTTTGAGTCTGTAAACAATTTTGAAAACAGCAAAAAAGTTGTATTTAAACCAGGGCTACTCAACACGCAGCCTGCAGCCCGTTTGTTTGTGGTCCGCAGTGTGAGTTGGGTTTACACAGGGCTCATCACGCAACCCACGGGTAGGGTCCTTTAAATATAGCCTCCACTGGGAACATGCTCCATAATGGTCTTCTGTTGAAATGGGTTTTAGTAGTTATGTTCCTGGACTCTTGTTGCTCATTAAAAGTGCTGTTGTATGGGTGGAAATTGGGTAAATATTGCATTTTATTAATATCAGCAGAACTGACTTAAACAGGGCCTGCACGCTGTATAGTCTTGCCTTTGTCCTTGTATTCACGCCCGTCAGTGTGAAAGAAGCTATTTGCATATATATTTGCATGGACATGCAACCACATTTAAGTTGCCGCCCTTGGTGTGTGCTGTGAGTATCATTGTGACCCCTGGGGCTTCCAAAGTTGAGTAGCCCTGATTTAAATGTTTCTTTAAAAGCTTAGTGAGCTTTTGTTAAAATCTAATGATTTTTTTGTTGTTGACAAGAACCTTCCAAAATTTAGTTGAAAATGGATGATTCCAACCATCATTTCCTTCTTGACAAAAAAGCCACTTTGTCCAAAAATGTTTCAAATTAGAAGTTTCAACAAGCTCTACCTGATTACTCCCTAAAACTGGCCATGTTGTCTACCGAATACAGCAAAAGTCTAGGGGCCCCGCAATACTAAGGAGAGACCTCGTTGAAGTTCACCCATTGAGTCAGTAGAATGAGAACCCTTGTGGCTTCCTGTTCTTTGCTTACAATAGTAGTCATTATTTTCTAGCATCCATGCAATAATTTTCACCTTCGAAACACTGCACGACCATTAACTAATAAAATTTCAGAATGCTGGGTAATGCAGAAGATCAGAAGCATACTTAGTACTTTATATATTGATACGTTGTATTCTTTGGTAGAGGACAGACAAAAAGGCCAATGACAAGCGAGAGATCTGGCTGGATTCTTTTCTTTTCATTGTGTCTCGCTTCCTAGCCGTCCCAACAATGCTCATGTGCAGCCACGTGTGGTGGTGAATCATCTGCAAAATAAGAAATCACCTTCCTGGGTGTTCGCGTTGTTCTGCTTTACTGTACTTCTCGAGAGGCTGTCGTTTTCCTGATTTTTGTCTCCCCGTCAAGCACGTTCCGGTCGCAGATCCAGAATTTTGCCTCCCTTGCTGTGTGAGATGTGATGAAGCAGCTTCCCATTTTAGAACTGGGAAAATAAAGCACCCATCATCATAGGCACTGTTTCTGTGGGTGCTCTGAGGCTGGACCTCCCTGGGGAAAAATTACAGAGCACCTACTGGTGCCAAGTTTCCTCTTCTGGCCTCCCAGCGCCTCTGGAGCACCGTGAACAGCTGATTTGTAAGCTCGGTGTGGTTGGGGGAAGAATGGGGACACAGTGCACTTGGGAAAGAAGGCATGGAAGAGGCGGGCTGGGGGCTTGGGGATGGGCTAGAAAAGTGGTGGGGTGGGGACAGAGCTGTGTCAGGAAGAGCTGGGGCGGGGTCTTGGGGAAAAGGATGGAGTGAGGACAGGACCTGGGGCGGAACGGGTCGGGGAGGAGGTTGAGCATTCCCCGGCTAGAGGGGAAGTCGGTGCTTATGCCTGTCATAAAGCTTTTTCCTTTTAATGCTCACCCACCTATGTATTATGGGACCAGGTGTTTGTGTAATTAACATTGGCTCATGTTTTTCAGAGAAAAGCCCAGCTGTTTCTCTGAATACTAATCACTTCGTGCATTGTGCTAAGATGTGTAATTAATATTAGGAGATTAAGTGGTGCTCATTAGAACGAATTAATGAAAAAATTCTAAATGTTTAGAATTTTTCCTCTTAAATGTCCTGCAGTTATGCCTTGATTGAGTGCACTGATGTTTAATCAGTTAATCATTAAAACTTAATTAATAGAAACTGGAATGAGAACATTGTTGCCATGACGTGTCTGAAACTAATCAGCCAGAAGCATCCAAGTTAATGTACCAAAAAGCCCCCTTAGCTAATTGTGATAGGCTTCCATAGATTTCCTAACAAGGGGCTCTAATGAAAAGTGCATTAGCAGTAATGGCAAGGATCCCACACGGCTTACTAGACCTATACTTTTTTCAGTGCTTTGTGTGTGTATTTATTTCCAGGTCTACGCTTTCCACAGCACAAAGGAACTAGTAGCTTCTTTCATGTGCTAAGTCAGTCAGAATGCAAGCAAGAGGGAGCCCTCTTAGCCACGCTCTGACTCCTCTCTCTCGTCTTTCTCCTGCCTCACCGCACACAGAGAGTTTAGGAAGTGTCTGCCATTTTTGTCGGTATTTTCTTCAAACCTCTCTTAGGGCTAGATCCTGCCGCTCCACTCAACTGAAGTAGTACCACTGTCTTCCTTGCAGTGGAGCTACCTGTGGGTTAAGGTACTTGTCAGTATGAGTAATCAAAGGGTTCTTTTAGTTCCCCAAGTTCTGTATAGTGAGTACCATCAAAGAGCCAGGGGAGAAGAGAAATGTGGGGGCACAGGATCCTTTCATCATGCATGTGAAAACTTCCAAGACCTGACCAGCCAGCTGGGAGCTTCTGGTGGACCATTAAGAGAGGGTTTGGAAGTTTCACCTCCCTCAGTTTGCTTGTCTCTAGAGAGAGCCCCTGAGCAGAAGAGGCAGTCCTTAAAACCCAAGGCAGAGAAAGAAGGATCATTTGTTAGAATTTCCCTGGCTAAATCCATGAATTAGAACCACGAACTTTTCCAGGAGGTTTCTGGCCCTCCAGCCCATCCCTGAAAAACGTCCTGACCATCAGAGTGATTAAGCAGTGGAATAAATTGCTCAGGAAGGTTATGGAATCTCCATTATTGGTGCTTTTTAAGAGCAGGTTAGAGAGTCCTAACTGTCAGGTATGGTCTAAATAATACTTAGTCTTACCAGGAATGCAGGGGACAGGACTAGATGACCTCTCACGGGCCCTTCCTGTCCTATAAGTCTATGAAAGTCCTGTTCCCCCTTGGGAAGTTTGTGACTTACAAGCTATCTCACGAAGCAGGGGCGGCCCTAACACTACTTAACATTTCTATAGCTCTGTTCATGGTCAGAGGACGTAGATACTGGTGTAAATATCATTATCCCCATGGCACAGATGGGATAGCGAGGATTTACTCAAAATGCAAATTTGTGCAGGTTTTCACTAACCGTGATTTTTAGGATATGGCTGCACTTAAATGCTGCACTTCTGTGTAGATGCCATCTATGCCAATGGAAGGGGGTTCTCCTGGCAGCATAGTTAAGCCACCTCCGTGAGAAGCGGTAGGTAGGTTGATGGAAGAATTTTTCCATTGATTTAGCACTGTGTACACTGGAGTTTATGTTGACTTTGCTAGGCTGCTCAGGGGTGTGAAAAACCTAACTGATATTCCCGCTAATTTTTTCCATCCTTGTGCAGAATAAATTCTTATGTGCACTGAAACAGGTGTGGATGTGCACTACCAGCAGAAATATGCTGCCGACTGTGGGTGCCCTGCTAATCAGCTGGGTATACATTTCACTCTCTCTGAGTGGCTGCCCAAGCTCTCAGCTTACAGGAACACCGTCCCTGAGTGACATAGTTAAATTGACTTAATTTCTTAGTGCAGACCAGATCTTAGACTGATTGCAAAAGGCTGTGTGAACACTCTTGCCGGTTAAAAAGACCAGGCTTATTTCACTTTAGATTAAGTCAAATAGCAACAAGTTTAAACTAAACAAAAATGACCTGCTCTTAATCTGAAATATGTCTCAGTGTCACCACGCCAATTGAACTATGCCAGTGCAAGCTTTTGTGTAGACAGCTTCTGGGGCAGAGAAATTAAGTGCTTTATCCAAGGTCACAAAATCAATCAGTAACAGAGCCATGTCTAGACTGTTAATTTCTTCTAATTTCTAGTGTTTTGCCTAATCCAGTTGACCATACTGCTTCTCTTTATCCATGGTTCCAGCACTGTCTGTCTCAAGAGTCCCAAACAAGATGAGGTATTATATTTGTGCTTGGCCTTCTACTTTTATAGCAGAATGCAAAGCGGACCCCAAAATTCTTACCCTAATTCATGGCTCAGGTGGCACATAGGTATACATATCTTTCACAAGAGTTCCAGGTACAGGCTGCTGGGCTGTATATTTAATTTTCAAATAGTTATTCTGGTCATGTTGGTTCCCTAAATAAAGTGTGTGTGTGTGTGGGGGGGGGGTTGTTTGTTTTTAAATCTTTAGGATGAAACCGTAGCTGTGTCTCCTGGAAAATGTTGCCCAGAGTGTATTCCGAAACCCTGCTCTGTGTCTGGAAAAGTGTATGAGGTAACCTTCGATGAACCATACCAAAAACCGACCAGGCATGAGTTCTGGCACATCTCTATTTTTTTCTTCCGTAACTTTGGACATTCTGCCAGCATTAGTGACTTAGTACAATGTAAAGATATTAAGTAGGGAGTAAATGAATAATTGTATACTTGATACAATTTGTATCGAGACCACAATTAGTTGATAAGGGGCTGCAGCGGCTCTTCAGTTTAAATGTAGCAGGAGCCCAGCTCACGCCGGGTCTGGACTGTTGTAGCTCTGCCTTCCCTTCACCCTCCTGCACCGTGGAGACGGCGCTGGGGGGAACCGGGTTTTAAGCCGGCTCTCCCAAGTACCGGCTCCTGCTTCACACTCCCACTTGATGTCCCTGATATAGAGGCAGTAAGGGGGAGGGGAATGTGAGTAGTCGACTCAACTACCTGATAAGCCTAGGCTTATTTGGGTAGTCGACTAATCGACTACTCTTTTACATCCCTAGTACAATGGCTGTTTTCCCCCCTTACTGGGAAGCTAAAAGTTGAAAGGGATTAGAAATATAAAGGAATTTGCATGCAAGCTGCAACCAGGTTCACGGGCTAAATTAGATAATGTACTTAACTGTTCACACATCATTATTCTTTTAAGTGGGAAAACAGATGTCACTGAGTGTCATTGTATCCAGTGATCTCAACTTGGGATGCATTTAGTGTATTGTTCAGTCAGGTCCTCAAAATTTATTATAAGCACTCTCAGAAAGGTGACCGACCATTTGGCCAACTTTGTGATGAGGAGTATACACTGTGGTATGGATGTGGAACTTTCTTCTTCCCTTTGTACATCCTGGAGTAGGATGTACTGTTTCTTTTGTTGTTGTTTTTTAAATAAAAACCTCTCCCTACTTGGACACATGTACATACAGGGAACCCATTACACTTTAGGGGAAATACACACTCCAGGAGAGAATGTGTCTATGTGAGGGTTTTTGCTTTATTACTTTATATATTTATATTATGTATGTATGTAACTGTCTATCTTCTTTCTGGGCAGCATGGTGAGCAGTGGAAGAAAAATTCCTGCACTACGTGTGTGTGTGACAGAGGGGAAGCAAGGTGTCTTAAACAGGCCTGTGACCCACGTCCTTGTGAGAAGGTAATTCACAAGTTCCCAGCCTTGAGATCAGGCGGCATGTCCCACTTGCCCCTTTCGTAACGGGCTGAAGGATGGCTTAGCACTCACTGAGTTTCTGATGTTTGCTAGGATCAGAGCAAAGTGCAGCGTCCTGGGAGCTGTTGCGAGGAGTGTGTTTCTTCCAAAGGAAGCTGCTTATACGAAGGCACCGTCAGGTATCACAATGAGATATGGCACAGGAGTCGCTGTGAATTCTGCACATGTGATGGAGGACAAGTCACGTGTCAGAAGGGAGAGTGTGCCGGAGTGGAGTGTGCCGAGGTAAGGAAGGGTTTCTTCTGTATAATGGTCACTTCCTGATTTGCTTTCTATTAGACACATCTTAGGAACTTGGCCATGATTCCATCACTCACCTCCAAAGCACTTAACTCTGCCTGTGGGCCACATGCGGCCCACTGGGCCACCACCTGCGGCCCTTGAACTCCCTGGCTGCGCCCCCTCCCCCACGTGTCTCTACCACCATGGGGCACTGGAGCCTCACACTTCCCTGCTCCTCCCACTCCCTCCCTGCACATTCAGACACGCAAGTCACCTGATTCGCACTCTGTCCATCCCCTCCCTCCAAGAGCTGGAATGCTGTGAACAGCTGTTCATGGCATTCCAGCTTTAGGAGGAAGGGGGAAGAGTGGGGAGGGAAGGGGGAGGAGCAAGGAAGTGTAGGACTCCAGTGTACTAAAGGTACGTAGGGGCGGGGGGCAGCTGGGGGGGTTGCAGGGCCACAGGTGGAACCCAAGTGGGTTGCTGCAGCCCTCTGAGGTGAAAGAGGACCACTCACTGTTCATGGTTGCCCATCCCTGACTTAACTGGAGATGAGGAATGGAAGTGAGGGTCAGCGTGTCTGTGCAAGGCGAGGCAGGTAGGAGGTTTAGCAGTCTTGTGCTGTGCAAGCACCATGCTAGGGTGAATCAGCGGCTGATTTACATTTTTGATTGTCTCCAGCACTGTCAGGATCTACCTGGTAACAAATGGCTTCAGTAGAAGCTGCGCCTGCTCATTCCAGAGCTGAATTTGGTGCAGCGAGTATAGCTCAGAGGCATCCAGTTCTGTTAATAAATGTGGAGAATTTTGTCCTTGATCCTTGCTAGGCGGAGAAAGCAAGTTCTTTGCTAAAGCACTAGCCATTAAACTTAGTAACCCTCTTCCTGTTTTCTTACAGTGAGCAGCCAGGGCTCATGAGAGAGACACGTATGATCAACAGCACTATAAAATACTTAACTCTTACTTCAAGCTCGGATGATAGCTTATATTATAATTGACCAATAAGTAGATGCAGAAATGGCATTCAATAGGGTCAGAGTGCTTGGTAGGATAGTGAAACTTCTCTAATACGCCTTGATCAAAGTGGTTCCCATGGTCTAGCCCAAAATGTGAGTATGTGCATGGATATGAGGGAAATTGGAATAAGTCTAATTCAATGGATGTATCAGAAAGTTGGGATCCAAAACATTTTCATTCCAGCATGAGAAGAGATCATGTATCTGGAAATGAAGTTAATGTGCTAACTCATGAAACATTATCTCTTTAAATATGAAAACTCCTTTGTACTTTCCCTCTCTCGATTAATTCTTATGGACATTACAGAGATGAATGTTGGATCCAACCTTTTATTGTCAACTGGAATACTGCCTTGTCACCTTAAAATGCTTCTCTAAAACTACCTACGCTATTTTGAATTTAATTGGATGGAAAGTCAAGCTTGTCATATAAATAAGACAAAATCGGGAGGAACTGGGAATAAGTCTGTTGGCTTTGTATTTCTTTCACACAGCTTTCCACATGCATCCTGTTGCAAAATGAGTAGTTTCTGTTAATGATTACATACCATTATGGCTCTATGGAGAAGATAATGTAGCAGTTCCATTTGGTGCATTACAGACATTTCCATATCTGGAACTCTCACTAGTCACCATGAGAGAAAATCTTGTATTCAGTACAGCCTGGGATATATCACAGTACAATAACTGAATATGGGTACAAATACAGATTTTTTATATTTAGTGTTCAGCCCATTACTGGGCCATCCAAGGTTTATTATCACGCCACAGACAAATAATAAAAATGTGGATTCTAGGGATGTAAGCGACTAGTCACTTCATCCCCTCTTGCTGCCTCTGATACAGAAGCAGCAAGGGGAGGAGGTGAGAGTAAGAACAGGTTCCCCCCAGCAACATCTCCACGGGTAGGGGGATGACAGGGAAGGCAGAGGGGCAGTGGGAATGGTGCAAGCAGGGACTGAAGCAGTCCCCGCTCACACTAGTCTGACTGCTGTGCCTCTGCCTTTGAAATGTAGCAAGAGCCTAGCGGGGCTCTTGCTGCATTTGATAGGCAGAGCCGGTGCAGCGGGGAACCCTGGGCAAACGGGGCCTACATTTAAAAGGCAGAGGCACAGCTGGGATAGTGAGCACCCTACTCCACCCCTTATTGACTAATCGAGTAGTCGATGGAAGTTCCATCGACTACTCGATTAGCTGATTAATTGAAATTTAACCTCCCTAGTGGATTCATAAACAAATACATAAAGTAGCTGATCTAATTTCTACTGATGAATTTGATTCTTTCCCCTTTTTTATAAAGGAAAAATTGTCTGCGTTAGCGCTAGATCCTGCATTGTGCTGAGTGCCTTTAAAACTCTTTGAATGGGCATTAAGACCAGTCTAATACTAATATTGGTAGAATTGGGTTTCATTGAAAACCTCTTCAAACCTGCGTGTCACAAATCAGACATCAAAATAAGAATATTGAAATCAGTGAAGTATGGGCCTTGGAAAAGACAGGGAAAGTGTTTTTTGCATATTAGACATTAGGGATGTTTGGGACTAGTCCCTGTACTATTCAATTCTCTCCCCACCCACTGCCTCTTAAAAGCTTGTTCCCCCCAGCACCGTCTCCGTGGGGGGCAGGTAAGGGGGACTAGGTGCAAACCAGGAATCATCTGATTGCCAGCTCGTGCCTAGTCTCAAACACTGCACCTCTGCTTGTTAAATGTATTAAGATCCTGCCTGCTCTCAATACATTTAAAAGGCAGAGCCACAGTGGGGTACCCTGCTGTGGCTCCCCCCGCTTATTGACTAATCGGCTAGTCAATTAAATTTAACATCCTATTAGACATCAGTTTTGGTTCTGTTGGATAGAAAATTAAAAGTGTTTGTTTGAGGACTTATGCCCTACATGACTTTCCAAAAAGGTGAAGCAGCTGTCTTGGATCATTTGTGATAGAGTTGCTCAGTAGTACAAGCCATTCATGAACTTATTCCAAGGACAATAGAAAATGTCTCATAAAAAGCATCTTAAAGCAGGTAGTGTCACTTTTTTCCTTCTCTTCTCCAAGGTGTATGGGTTTTTTTTTGTTTTGTTGTTTTTTTGTTTTTTTTGCCTGCTTCACTAAGTCAGAGCAGCATTGAAGCTAGTGGTCTGTGGGGTTCTGCCCTTCATTAATTAATTTTCTGGTCACATAACGATGTCTAAATTGTAACGCGGTCACAGACTTAAACCTGAGTCCTAGATAGCTAGACCTAGCATATCAGCGTCTGATGGGACTAGAGCGAGGGCTTAATATTTAAACCCTTTCAAATACAACTCTGCCCAGCAGTTGCTGAGTGACTATATCGGTGATGATTAGGAGCTAATCTTAGAATCTGAGTTACAGTCTTCAAGTGGGCAGCTGGAAATTGTCTAGTAGGTGTGGCTTGGGCAGTTGCGGAAGTGGATTTGCTCCACCAAAGCCACTTCACCTGTCAGAAGCCTCTCATGAACCACTGTGCTACTTTCTACTGCCCCTCCAATGAAAAGCTGCCAGGAGCCTTTCTGGGGAGTACAGGCCCTGAGTGGTTGAAGATGAGCCGTGCGTGAGAATGAGGTTCCTGTTTCCACATCATCCCGCTTTGGAGACTGTCTCTAAACAGTCCTGTCACAAAGGGAACAGTGGTCCACATTGGGGATGTCAAAGGTTAACTGGTAAAAGTATCACCTGTAACAGGTGACGCTTACTGCTTCTGGTTAACTGGTGGGGGCTGGAGTAGCTCCCCACCCACTGCGGGCAGGAGGCTGCTCCAGCCCCGTGGGGCCTGATGAGGACAGCCCCTCTCTGCTCTGGCACGGCCGGATCAACCTTTGTCTGGCGTGGGGGTGGGTCTCAGTGTCCGGGTTGGCCACTCCAGCTCAAGAGCAGCCTGGAGCAGTTCCCCTCCTCTCGGCTCCCTCTTTAATTAGTTAACCGGTTACAATACGCTTAACCAGTTAACCTGTTAAACAGGATTTTACATCCCTAGTCCCCATCCTGCAAGATGTTGTACAACCCATGTGCTATCAGCAGAACATATGCTGTGCTACTAATGTTATGAAGCTAAGAGGGACGCTGAACTAGGTCAGTATATTGCCCTGCTTTTCTGTCTTCCTTGCAGGTTGTTCTAGTTACTTTTGTGCCTAGTGAAATCTTAAAGATCTGAAGTTGTGTGTGTGGTGTGTGCATGTGTGTGTAAAAACAATCTGACACCCTCTCCCTCCTTACTCCCTCTCCACATTCTTAATGTTGAATGTCATGAGTAACGGTTCTGAAACACGAGCGTGCGAGGGACAGAATTATCTCGTAGAATGCCTCCTACTTCTGAGTCTTGGCAGAGTACGGCGGCAGTTTTTGGCAAAGAGAATCATGTCCCGTGCATGTTTTCCCCCTCATTCTTTGTATAAGTGTCTGTGTGTGTTGGAATGGAGGGAAGGAAAGTTCACTAGTGACATGGTTTCTTACCATATACCCCAGAGACTTGAAATAATGGTTTAACTACAGGCAGTCCCTGAGTTACGCGGATCCGACTTATGTCGGATCCGCAGTTATGAACGGGGCCGTCTCCCTGGTCTCCAGCAGACCAGGGAGAGGAAGCAAAGCGGCGGAGCACGCGGGCAGCGGACAGCCCAGACGCGTTTGGGCTGTCCGCGTGTTCCGCGGCTTTGCTCCCCATCCCCCTGGTCTGCAGACCAGGGAGACGGGGAGCAAAGCAGAGCAAAGCCGCGGAGCCTGAGGGCAGCAGGATAGCCACGGCACGTCTGGGCTGTCCTCTGCCCCCATGCTCCGCGGCTTTGCTCCGGACGCCTATGGTACAGCAGCTGGGGCACTGCCGGTTGGTCCCGTAGCGCCGCTCTGGGCGCTACTGGACCAACCCGGCAGCACCCCAGCTACATTTTAGAACAAAAAGTTGGTTTGTTTTTTAAAAGGGCACAAAAGTAAAGAGTATCTAGTATAATAAGCCAGCTAACTGCATAATAATGACCCTTCTTTTGAGATAATTTAATCTTACTACAGGCAGTCCCTGGGTTACGTACAAGATAGGGACTGTAGGTTTGTTCTTAAGTTGAATCTGTATGTAAGTCGGAACTGGCGTCCAGATCCGGCCGCTGCTGAAACTGACCAGCGCTGACTACAGAAAGCCCAAGGCAGAGTTACTCTGCCCCGGGCTTCCTGGAATCAGCCGCTGATCAGTTTCAGCAGCAGCTGACTTGGGGATGCCTGGGGTTCTTAAGTTGAAACTGATCAGTTTCAGCAGCGGCTGAATCTGGACGCCAGTTCCGACTTACATACAGATTCAACTTAAGAACAAACCTACAGTCCCTATCTTGTACGTAACCCAGGGACTGCCTGTATCTAGAACAGGGATGGCCATCCTACGGTAGTAAGTGGGCCTTCAGCTCAGTGGGCTGCAAGATTGTCATAACCAGGGTGGTCTCCCAGGACTGGGTAGTTTTGCTCACTATGCTTACATACCTAAAATTTGCGGCAAGGTGCCGACTGAACTGTAGCAGCGCTTGATTGGTGGCAAAGGGAGCGCGCGGCTCTTATAGTCAGCGTTATAGGCAGTCATATCATTTTATGTGCCCTTGCTTTACATGTGTGTCACTCGAGTAAGACTTGTAGGGGAAAAAATTATGAAAATAGAAAACAGTGGAATCTGGCAACCCTGCAAGTGGGCAATGGTAAAAAAAAAAAAAGTTTCATGGGCCACACCTAGAACCCTAAATGGGCCACATTTGGCCCACCACTGATGTAGAAACTTGTAAGAATAGTCAGAGATGGTTAAAGTGAAATGTGTCCCCGATTTGACTGAAAACATAGTGCCTCAACTCACTCGTGCGTTTCTCGGCGTGCAAATGGAGTCATTAAAGCTGGTGGCCCTCTCAAAGAATTGGGCTGAGATTGGCCATTCTGGCATAATCTGCCATTGCTCATGCTATTGCACTTGTACATATGTAGCCAAACTGGCACAGTACATTTTCCTAAGTGGAATGCTGTCAAATATACCCAAAATAGATGGGGACGGATTCTAAACTTCCGTAAATAATGAACCCAGGAGATGGAGCCAGCTTTTTCATTCATGGGGAGTTTGTGTATATGTGTGGGTTAGTTAAGGGTTCAATAACAGAATTTGAAAAGAGGCTTCTGCACATATAGATCAACTCCCCCATCACTGAAAGTTTAAGAGCTTCCTAATATAAACCATGTTTAAGTCATTGAAAGGAATTCCACTGACTCCGGTGGAGACTGAATCACACGCACTCTGTAGCTAGAATTCTGGTGCATAGGCACAGTCTGAGAGAGCTGATCCACTTCACTATAGACTATATCCAGATGCACTGTCCATCTGTTAATTTCCCCCGCTCTGCCGCAGTATCTGAGTGCTTTGTACCTATTAATGAATAATCTGCCCAACTCCCCTTGGCAGTAGGTAAATATTATCTCAGTTTTTACAGTTGGGGAATGCAGACAGGTTAAGGGTGTGATTTACAAAAGCAATCAGCATTTACCATTGACTTCTATGGCAGCAGACTTAGACCAGTGCTGTGTGCTTTTGAAAATCCCACCCAGGGACCGGTCCATGAGCTAACTTGCACTGAAATAGCTACATTCGTTGTTAATTCACCTTTTATTATTTTGGTGCAAGTCCAAGGGTGGATATTTAGTTGGGAATTAAAATAGCCTATCTTGATTTAAGTTTTATATGAGACCTCTTTATATCACCTTTGTAGTAGCAAGAGGTCTTAATGTAAATGGGAATCAGGCTCAGAGAATCAAAGGCAGAGACAGGAATTGAACCTGGCTCTCCTAAATCTAATCCAGGTTCATTACATGTAAAACCATCCTTCTTTTCCCAGAAGTGTTTTGCTTCCATTTATATACAACAGACTTTGAGCAAATGGAAGCCTTATTTCCTTTCCTTACAGCAAAATTATGATCTCAATTACACTGGGGTACTCACAGTACAGTACTGTACTCACAGTATCTCTGTTTCAATTGTAACCAACAGTAGACTTTAGAACAACATAATGCATGTTTTAAAATTCACTGTGAACATTTGTTAAATTTTTAGTCTTTTCTTTGAGGGAGAAATGGAACATAGAAAATGTAACAGCTGCATTTTTAAGGATGTGAAAGTTTTCAAGTAAAATGCAAGTGAAAAATGTTATTCCATTTTCTGTGTGTTCTTAATGGTTTGGTTTTTGGGACATAGTTGCCTTATCAGTGAATTTCCTGATCTTTTCTGGGGTTTGTTCTGCTGCCACAATGTTATTTACACACACATTTCAAAGCGCACATGTGGAGATGAAGTAGGATGTGGAGCAGATAAGGTGCAGCTGGATATTAAAGATTACATTCCAGTCCGATAACCATTATGCCTCTGCATTCCCCTGTATTGCTTGGAAATGCTAATTTCATGTGTATTGCAGCAACTTTTCTCTCCACAGGGTGAAGAATTAGTTCATTTGGAGGGGAAGTGCTGTCCTGAGTGTATTTCAAGGGATAGTTACTGTGTGTATGGAGAACATACCAAAGCTGTGAGTACCCTGGTCATTTGGATAACATAGTGTGTTATGCTTATGAGGGGTTGAAGAAGTGAAAGTCTATCTCATAAAAGCCCAGAAAGAACATTCTTCACTGAGTCTTATAAAAGCACAGTCCCTTAATATTACTCACCTGGGAGGGGGTTGCGTTTCATAAAATCTGCTTGTTTAAAACTTTCAGCACCATCTAAGTCTCTTCCGGCTCTTTTTATTACCTAGGGGAAAGCAGAGTAAATTGAATCAATCGTTCCTGATTAATGTTTTATACACACACCCTCAAGTTTTCAGTGCACCTCATGGGGCTTAAGATGTTTGACTTTCATTACTGCCAGTGAGAGCCGTACGACCAAAGCTCACTGCAGTTTTCTGAAAACGTTCCCTATTGATTTCACTGTATCGGGAGCCTGTTATTCTGGGCTATTTACAATCAGCCTTTCTTCTACCATTGACGGTATAGTTTCTTTTGATGAAGTACACTAGGAGACCTTTCATTATTGCGACAAGTGAATAATGATGTTAACTGCTGCTTGTGCAGAAGTAAATAACTCTTGGGACCAAGCACAGTTTCAGTGGCTGAGTGGAAGTACTGCTCTGTGTTAGCAGCCCTAAGGGACCCAGAGGGTATGTGTACACATCCCACGGCAGCGAGTTTCTCAGCCCAGGCTGATAGACTGGGGCTAGCGAGGCTTGCGCTAGCACTCTGAAAATGGCTGGGCGGAGAGCGCTTTGAAGTTGCAGCTCACGCTTTGAAGCCCACCCCACTCCCAAGGCTAAGGTAGGCACAGAGAGAACTACCCACTGAGCCCAATTCTGTCGACCCAGGCTGGGGCGCTCCTGTTGGCAAGCTGTGTAGATGCGCCCAAGGGCAGGAGGTTGCTGAGATAATGGCCCCTACCCTTGCCAGCAAAACTAGCTGAGCGCAGAAGGGGCAGTGTGCTTCTCCTTTCTAAAGACTGGCTTTTGTAAAGGCAAATCGTGCCCTTTCGTGTGCTGAAATTCCCTGAGTGTGTCAACAAAACAGTGGTTAAAGTTAAAAAGAGGTGGCATAAACGTAGACTTTCAAAAACCTATGGTCAAATCCCAACGAAGAGGGTTGTAAGAAACTCAGTAAAGAGGGTGGGAAGCAAAGTGGTGTTGTAGACTGAAGACAGGCTAAAAGATAGAAAACAAGGCAACAGCTGTAAATTATCAGTTTTCATCATGGAAGAAGTTTAACAGTGAAGGACCATGGGTGTCTACATGGCACTGTGCTGTTTAATATATTTATAAATGAACCTGGGAAAAGGGGCGAATAACCAAGTGGCAAAATTTGCAGGTGACACAAAATTATTTACGTTGATCAAGACTTGGAGAAGATAGAGGGACTATAGATAGGTGAATGCACAGCATAATGGCATAGGAAATTGACTGTTAATAACAAATAACTCATATCAGACAGAATGTCAACTTTTTACATTATAATTATTAATACAACCCGGTATATTCTAAATTAACTCAAACCACTTGGGAAAGACCAGGGCAGTATTCTGAGAGAAGGCGATAAGCAGAGACTTGGTAGTGATGTGTGAATGGTCCAGTGCATGTGAACCAGATGCTCCTGTTTACTCTTTCACACATTAATATGAGAACAATGAAACAGTCAATAAAACTGAAAGGCAGTTCATTCAAAATGGATAAAAGAAAGTACTTTTCCACAATGCCAAGTTAACCTGTGGAAGTCCTTGCTGTAGTGTATACTTGAAGGCAAGAGGTTAACTGGATTAAAAAGACTTAGATGGTAATATGAATAATAAAAATCTCTACTGTTACATTAGACCTGTTACATATTATATGGGACACAAACCCTATTTTTCATTTCAAAGTCAGAAGGATTCAGAAAAATAACTTCCCCTTGTGGGGGAAATCTCGCTCCCCTGGGGTACAGAGCCCCCGGAAGGGTCCGAGGCTGGAGGTCAAAGCAGTGAGGCAGGAGAGAAACCTAGAAGGAAAACTTTATTATGCATGCATGCAGGCTGACCGCTCTCTGGTCTGGCAAAAATCCATGGTCTAGTATGATTTTTGTTAACAGGATATCCACTTACGGTGAGGCCAAGTTTCCTGCAGTCCTGTAAAGTTTGTTTACAGCCACCAGTCCTGGCTCTTAGTGTTCTGTGCTGTTATTTTGCTCTAATTTATGCCTAATGTCTTCTAAGAGCCCAGTAAGCAGTGGAAGTGTTGGCAATGCTGCTGGACATTATTGACTTTCTGTGGTCCAGCAAATTCTCTGGTTCGGTACCGGTCAGGTCCCGAAATTGCTCGGCTAAAGGGGTTCAATCTGTATCTATCACTGTCCATATTGGAAGACCAGACACTAGACAAGATGGAACACTGGCATGGCAACTGATAACGATTAGCTCTATATCAGATTATCTGATTTAGTGGGGGATGGCTGTCGGTCACAAGCATTTAGTTTATGCCGAAGCTCTCCTGTGAATGGTTCATGATGTAAACTCTAGCTGGCCACTAGACCTGTAACTGTTCATCACGCGCCGTGAGAGCTGGATTCAGTCCCGCTGCTGAACTCTGCACCGAACGGAGCCTCACCAAAGGGGTTCACTATTGTCTTGTGCAGCCTGGAGAGAGGTGGAAAGAAGGCCTGTGCAAGGAAGGTGGTTGAAGGAGACTGCTGCTCGCAGTGCCAAGCAGGTATTTGCACGGAGCAGCTTCTGCTGCTGGCATTTGCAGTTCTGCATGGGGTGGATTCTGATCCTGGCTGTATTGTGGGGGCATAATCCTTCGTAACCCGGCCCCTCATAACTTAGGCCAGGAAATGAAATTCTTTTACGAATGCTCCCCAGGGATACACTAGTATTTCAGGGGTCTAAATAGGAAGCGTGATGCTTACCAGGTGTACCAAGGGAAGTACCTTGCTACCACCTGCCCTTAGCATGACAAAGTCGGTGCCTGTCACTGGTCAGCTCCCCAACTCCGCTGCTACGGCCACGCCAGGCACTTCTCTCTAGGCCTCACAGGCGCTGCTGCCACTGTACAGGTTAGCGACAGGCACGTACCAACCTCTGAGCATCTGCTTGCAGCCTCCAGCTGCTGGCCTCCTGGATGCTTGCAGTGTTCACTGATTCACAGCTTCAGAAAAATGGGGCCCACCAGCTGAGCAGCTCCACCTCAACTCAACCCTCCGCTTTCCCCCCAGCACTTAGCGAGGTTTGTTGTGAAATCAAATATCACTTCATTTAACAGCTTAGAGATTCAAGGAACAGCAAGCAGAAATGTTAGAAAGGGGGATACAAATACAATAAAACCATAATATTATGCTTTTGAAAGCCTAGACGCAATTAACAAGATGTTCTCATGTCTAGTAGAGTCTTGCTCACTGGGAAACATTGCAGCACTTTACAGCCAGGCCCACTGCAAC